AGCATATTAGGAAAAGTCTGTCTTTTAGGGGGAAAAGAAATCTAACAAAAGGAAATCTTAATTTAACTATTTTTCAGAAATGGTTTCAGTCCATTAGGTATTTATTAGGCAGTTAGGTTAGGTTAGGCCAGGATAAGAAAAAGACAGGTACCTCCATTTGATATGGACACTGGTTTTTAACCTGCAGAAATGTTATCCCTGAAGTTTGGATCATTCATTCTTTAGAAGCTTTTTAAACGGAGTGCTGACACTGGGGCTGAAGCTGTGCTCAGGCAGAGGAGGCCGTGTCCTGCAGCAGGGCTGTGGCACTGGGCAGCCCCGATGAGGGGGCTGAGCACGGCACTGCCAGCACAGACATCCAGCCCGGGGCACGGGCACCTTGTGATCATGGGAACATTCTGAGCTTGTCTGCACGTGGCTGAGGAACACTTCTACTTTCATGAGGAATCAGAAGGTGATGTGGTGTGAATGTGTCCCAGTATAATTGGAGGGCTTATTGACCATCTCACTTTGTTCAGCCATAATGTCTTTGTCTCCTTAAAGAAGTGGAAACCTGTGCAGCAGCTATAAATGGTTACTCTGTGAGGGTACCAGCCCAGATCAAATGGGCTTGAATTCTTGGGTCATGGGTCAGGAAATAAATGGGAGATGCTTCTTCCTTCTAACCACCTTTGGATAGATTTAATTTTTTTGTGCAGGTATTTCTTAAGTCAGATTTGTTTTAGAGATGGAGCCTCTAGAGCAAGGGCAGCTAAAAGGTTAAGATAGTAAAGAGATTAGAGGCCTGTTCCACCTTCAACCAAATCCCTTTTGGTAAATATAGCTGAAGGGAGCTGGGCAGCATTGGTGAGGCTCCCCCCCTTCCCTTCTTCTCCACATTTCTTCTCCCTGCTGGATCACAGCTCCATGTTAATCAGACCTTTTGACTTCCCTGTCATCTGATCAGAAGGCTCCGAGTGCTGCAGTCCAGAGCCTGCTTGTGCCTGGTGCCAGGTGAGAGCAGAATCTGTGCTGGGTGCATTGGGGTGTGATGGATTTCCAGGCAGTAGTGTCCAGGTAGACTCTGTGTGTGTATGTGGAAATAAATGTGTGGGTGCATAAACCAAAATAGACATCTTTTTGAAGACAGTGACTGTTCTGCAGTCTTCACAGTTGTTACACTTTGTGGCAGTAGTGGCTGAATGTGCACAACTGCCTGTTTGTTTTCTGCTGAACAGTAACAGAAGGGTCAGAGTAGCTAACAGAGATAATGTTCCAAATCTGTGCTGGAAAAGGTCTGTGTGTGCACAGGTCTGTGGCTATCTGAGAAGTTTTGACTCCAAACAAACACTCACCATATCCATCCCACTTCCAGTATCTGTAAAAGTGACTGGCATGTTTGGATTGAGTAAAATTATGAAAGTGCAATAGCTAGAGGAGTTGCTGGAATGCTTTTTTTAATATCTTAGTGATACTGATAATGGAGATTCCAGACACTGACATGTGGGAGGTTTTGTTTGCTTGGACCTGACATTGATACAAATAGAGACTCCAAGTTTGGGGAAAACTCCCACATAACATTTCTTCACAGAAATAAGAAACTTCTCTGGGTCCTTACAACACAAAAATACAACTCTGCCTCCAGAAATTTTATGATATGAAAGTAACTGTATTCAAAAAAGCAAACAATAACAAACCCCAGAAATGTAGAGGAAAAAATTAGCAACAGCTAATTTAATAAGGTGGCTAATAAGGAGAGTTTTGATTGTGCACTGCCATGTCTGAATCTGTACATTCAGCATAATGCAGGGAATTTCCTTCCATCCAGTGTGACTTCAGAGAAACAGATCATGGTCATTAAAACCTGAGACTTTTCTCAGTGAATTCAGCAGAGTGGAGATGTCTGTCCTCACAGTTCCCTGGAACAGGCCACAGAGAGGAGGAAAATTGCCTGATGGGCCCTGATTTCCTCAGTAGTGAATGTGCAGCAGGGCCCAGGTTCACTGCATTTGGAACTGCCCTTGTTCCTATGCTTTACATATTGCACAATGGTGGAAATGCAGCTTTTGGGCTTAGCCTATAAAAAGAATATTTTGGCCTTGTTAATGGAATTTGGCAGGTTCACCTGGAACACAGCAAGGGCAGGAGATTCTCTTGGCTCAGCCGTGCTGGGCTGAGCTGTGGGCACGGCGGGCACGGCGGGAGGCACGGAGCAGGACTATGCTGGGAGCTGGGAGCTCACATTCCTGGTGTCAGCACGGACAGGGGCCAGCTGGGAGGGTCAGAGCCGGCCTGGATTAGACCTGGCTCAGGGCAGGGCTCTGCTCCCGCCGCTCTTTCGCTCCAATCCCTTCCCGTGTGACGGGCGCCTGCACCACTGCCCTGGCAGCCCGGCCTTTTTTGTCATCCCTCCCCCCCCTTCACCCCCATTTTTTTTCCCCCTTTAATGTCACCAATGTCCACAAGGAATCGGCCATGAAATCTGTGCTGATTGGCGTGATCCTGAAGGGAATTTTTCTGCTAGCAGGTAATGAGATGTGTGCAGTGTGTCCTGCCTGTGTGCGTGCCTGCCCAGGGCAGGGGGCTGGGTGTGTGACGAGTGGTGGCTGGAGGCATGAGGAGGAACCAGAATTGATTAGAAAGGAAGAATGTTTTTATTTTGAAGAGACATAAAGTAAGTTTTGGAAAGTGTAGGGCGAGGAACTTCCTTGTTGCACGGGTCTGGCTGACAGCTCCACAGTCCCTGTGCTGCAGTGTCAGAGCCGGGGGTTCCGGGCACCGGGGCCGTGCCCAGCTGAGCTCAGGAGACACGCAGGTGCCTCCCGGTTACTTCTGGGAAACGTTCCTTTTGCTTTTTACTGATGTTTTTGCAGTTTTCATTTTTCCTTTGTTGATCGAAAGGTGCCTTGTGCAGAAGTAGCTTTTGTGGCTGTAAGTCAGGACAAACCCCGTGGTGGTCAGTGCCTTCCCCAGCTCCTCCCGCTCCCTGCCCCAGCAGCAGCAGCAGCAGCGCGGTGGGAGAGCGGCAGAGCAGGGGTTGCCATGGAAATGGCAGTAATTGTGCAAATATAATTGTGTCGGGGTCCGTTTGTTGCGGCTAATTCTCTGCCTACCCCCTCTCCCTCCCCTCCTTTTTCCTTTTGATAATCATAATACAATCCCTAATTAGGATGCAGCAGGGAAAGGTCGTTAGGAATTCAGCTGCCTGACGGAGAGGGCAAGGCGGTGCTGGCCGGGCAGCCCTGCTGAACTCCCGTGTTTCAAGGAACAGACCTTATCCTTCAAGGGTTTTTTATATCTGACAGCTAAATTAGAATATTTCACTTCATTTGCGCTTATTCTTTTAACATTTTATGTATCTGTTGAAGGATATGATTCTTACACTGTATACAATGAATCTTTGCTTATTAACAGCAGCCAGTAAATCATTGCCTCCATTCAGGCAGTGGTGAGCTGTGTGGATTTGATCACACTTGCATCTACAAAACAGGACAGCGGTGGCACTCTGAACGTGGTGAAGGATTTGTATTTGAATATTTGAATATGCTGCAGGCTATGAAAGCCCAGCCACTTGTGAGTGTTTCTGACCCAGCTCCTGTGGGTTGGTGGCCTGGGACTGCTACCTCAGACACGGCTGAATTAAGGGAATGTTGAAAATCCTTGACTCCAGATAGCAGCCTTTTAGATACCACTTGTCTGATTTCAGATAACAAGTTCCACTGCTTTGCTATTGTTAGTCTTTAACTAGATAAGGAACTCATTAAACGTTTGAAAGTCTCCTAATGGTGTAATGAATCAGATTGGTTGCTTTTACTATTGATGGCTCAAATAAAAGTAAACATTCCAGCTATGAAATTTAGAGGGAACAGAGGAGACTACTACTTGTTTACAAGGAGAATAACTCGGTTTTGTTACTTGTTTTTGTCGAACAGTCATGTCTCCCAATTTATTTTTTTTTAAATAAACCTGAAAAGGGATGCCTATGTTGCTCTTATAAAAAACAATGCTGAAAAACTTCTTAATATCTACTTCCCAGTGGGTCTGCAAAGACACAACTGTCCACGTCTTGGAGAAGATTGGCATAATGGATATCCAGGAAATGAGCTGTAGTGATGTAGCTCCACATAAGTGCCTAGTAAATCTTCCCGGAAAATAACTGTCATTAGCCAGATTTTTAGAACTCTTGTGCAACCTCCTTTTCACCCATTTCAAACAAATAATCTAAGAAATCAAACCAGCAGCATCCCATGGGAAAGCCTGGTGTTTAATCAGCCACCAGCCTGGGGCTGTGCACCCACCCTGGGGACTCCTGTCCCACCTGGGGTCTGCAGGCAGGAACAGCCCAGGCAGGTGCTCCTGAGCTGAGAGCTGCTCAGGCTGGGAATGTGGAATGGGAAGATGGGCCTCTCACTGCCTCCCAGCCTTCTCAGAAATGCAAAAATTCACGGCATCTCTCCTTTTGTTATCCAAACCAATGTTATCTTCCCCTCATTGCCTTGGTAAATATCAGCAACCCTGATCTGAAACAGCAGCATCTCAAGGATTTGGGACTGTACCAAATCTGTCTTTCCTTATTCAACAGCCTTCCCCCTTAAATCTGACTGCAGACTTGCCTCTGCAGCTCGGAGAACCCTCCAAGAAAACCCACTCCACACAGTTATACTGCTCTCCTGCTTTTTCCCAGTTGTGCCTGAAGTCGTCCCATCTTCTCCCAAACTGGGATTCTCCAGGCATGTCCCTTATTTATTCCAACACATTTCCTTCATAGCTTGGTGCTACAATCTTATTTCTGTCCCTGCTGTTCCCTTGCTGAGCAAGCCCAGCAGTAAGAGGAGAAGGGCTGTGCTGAGGTGCTGAAGGTACTGCTGCTAACAGAACACCTCTGGCACATCTGGAAAGTGCAGAATGAGAACCTTGCATTTCTCTGTCAGTGCTTCCCAGAGCTCTGTCCCTACACTGGCACAATTGGACAGTTTGGAGCTGGAAGCTTGTGCTCATCTCTCTGCAGAGCTCAGGGGACAAACCATCACTGCAAATATTCAAGAACCTGTATCTTTGCTAAGTTTTTATTTTTTATCACACATCAAGTCCAGCTCCAATGCTCCCAATGCCCCATCTCCCCTCATCTCTCTGCCCCAGGCAGCTCTCTAATCTCTTTGACATGCACATTCTGTCTAGTGGCTTTTCTTTACAAATGTCCTTTGTGTTTTGATTCCCCTCCTTTGTGTGTGAATTCCTTCCTTTTCTTCCTGCTGCCCTCGTTGTGCTTGCTGGCTGGATCGGGTGTAATGCTATTAGAGTGGGATAATCCATGCTTGGTTTATCTGTGGGACTGTCTCTGAAGATTAGTGAAAACCAATGTTATAGGCTAGATAAAGTGAACTGGTTCAGGGCTCTTCTGTCAGTCTGGGGATGCTCAGGAAAATGACAGCAGATTTTCATTAGCCAGATTTGGTAATTTACTTGAGCCCCATTGGGATCCATGTGCTGCCAGGAGACAGAACTGCAGTGCAGGACCTCACCCAGTTCTTTTCTGCAGGACTGGGCAAAACTGAAATCAGCTTAGTGCCAGCATGGCAGAGTGCCTGTGGAGCATGTTGTGTTTGTTGTTTGGTAATGAATTGGGGTTTGTGAGTTTTACAACTGGTGTGTTATTTTGGAATTTGAATTTTTTTTTTAACTGAGGCTTTCCAGTAACTTCCCATTTTACTGCTGTCTACAACACTGGTGCCTGGACCATGCTCCAGTTAAATCTATAGACCTACCTGGCCTTTCAACATACCAAATCTATTAAGAAAAAAGCATAAATTCCTTGTCTGTGCTGTTTTGGTCCTTCCATACCTTCTGCACGTTGGCTGCCTATGGGGTTTGAGCTTGGGGCAGGACAGCAGTTGGTGGGAGGATTTGGGCTGACAGGCCAAAGCTCTATAAATAGCACCTGGGAGGACACAGAAGTTTGGTTTTCTTGCTCTTGCATCATCAGCAGGATGCTCTGAGTGAGTGTGGGGCTCCTTGCTGGCAGCTGCTCCCTGGAGAGATCTAGGGAGGGCAGTGCCTGGCAGGCTCTGGGAGGGAGTCCCAGGCCCACGGTGAGATCCCATCTCTAAATCTCTTCTGCAGGTGTGGAATGTGCTGTTAACATCAATGAATGTGAGGAGGGTCCCTGCAAGAACGGAGCTGTCTGTGAGGATGGCATTGCTGACTATTCCTGCCACTGTGCCCCTGGCCAGGATGGCATTACGTGGGGAGGGAAGAACTGCTCTGTCCAGCTCACTGGGTGCCAGACCCACGACTGCCAAAACGAGGCCTTGTGCATCCCAACCTACCAAGCTGAGAGCCACGGCCACCTGTGCCAGTGCCAGCCTGGCTTCTATGATGCCACGTGCTCGACACCAACAACGTTTTCCTTTGCTTCCAGAGGGCTCCTCTTCATTGAGTTGCCCAAGAGCAGTGAGGGCGGGAGGGGCGCAGGAGGAGCCAGCGTGTCCCTCCGCTTCCGAACCACTTTGCCCAGTGCTGTCCTTTTCTACCGAGGCCATGGAGCTGAGTACTTGTTCCTGGAGCTCTTGGATGGCATCCTGCACGCACAGCTGAAGAGGGAGGGTGTTGGGTACCCGCTGCTCCTGGAGGGGCTGAGAGTGGACGATGGCCAGTGGCACAAGGTGGAAGTTGTTGTGCACAGCACGGTGCAGCTGAAGCTCTGGCATGGCTCTTGTGAGGCCGGGGTCTGCCTGCAGAGCTCTCCTGTCCCACCGGGCACTGCTTTGATCCCACAAACCTTCCTGCATCTGTATATTGGAGGTGTAGATGATCCAATGGCCAACAACACACGGAGCCAGCAAGGCTTTGTGGGCTGCCTGGAAGACCTGCAGGTGGATGCTGAGGCCGTGCTGCCGGCGGATCTGCCGCTGGCGGAGTCGCCCGTGGCGAGGCCGGGCTGTGAGCGCACGGAGTGGTGCCTCTCCCAGCCCTGCCTGCACGGAGGGCTCTGCGTGGACCTTTGGGCCTCCTTCACGTGTGACTGTCCCAGGCCCTATGGAGGCCCAGCTTGCTCGTATGGTAAGTGCCATGGGATTGACACCTGCCAGCTCCACAGGTACTGGAGAAGCTTGGATGTTAGCTCAGGAAACAGGACTTTCTGTTTGACCGGGGGGAAAAATAAAGCAAGAATAAAATTCTCATTGATCCCTTTCCTGTTGTTTGCTCCTGCAGGAATGACTGTCAGTTTTGTGGTGCAGGTTGTTCCTGGTAGAGCCAGAGGCTCTGCCTTTACCTTTGTAACAGATCTGTGTGAATGCAGGGGAGCAGGGAAGTTGTTTTACTGTGAAAAGTTGATCTTAAGCTGCTGAGTTGAGGATGAATAGGAAGGTATTGCTTTATAGATAAACTATAGAGCGTTAAAGGAAGCTCTGACAATTTTCAGTTTAAATAATATATTTTTGCATTTTTTACTCCTTCAAGACTTATATTAGTACTGGGGTTTTTTTCAACTCTTCTGAGCCTTAAATATGGCATGTACTGCTGTTACCAAATTTACAAATTTTAAAAGCAACTCTGTTTCTCAGAAGACCTTGAGTAAATCTGCTGGATTGGCAAGGGCTCTGCTAGACCTGTATTTCACTCTCATGCTACTTGGGTACTTGAATTTGTGCCCTCCAGAGGAAGTAAGGACACATTCACCCACTTCTTAGTGTCACAGACCTGTGGGGAGGAGCATCGTTAGCCTGGCACACATGGAAAATGTTGAGAAAAAACATTCCCCATTCCTAAGGAGCTGTGTCCCTGTGCCAGCTGCATTCCCTTTATCTCTGAGCTGAAGTCTTTTCTTTTCTCTTCCAGAGCACCCAGCAGCAACATTTGGCCTAGAGAATTCCACCAGCTTTGCCTCTTTTACCCTTTCTGACAGCCTTGGTGCAGACTTCAACCTCTCCTTTTTCCTGCGGAGCCGGAAGCCCGATGGTTTGTTAGTGCAGGTGTGCAATGGGACAGGCCCCTGCCTCACCCTGTACCTGAGGGACAGCCAGCTGAGCATAGAGACCTCACCTACGGACACCCTGACCTTTCCAGGGAATGTGGCTGATGGGAGAAGACATTTGGTAGCCCTGTCTTTCCAGGGAGGCTCTGTTGGGGCTCTGCAGTCAGACACATTTGTGGAGCTGGGGCAGCTGCCAGCACAAGCCCTGGGAGCTGGCTCTGAGATGTTCATTGGGGGACACCCAGACCCCGCCAGTGCTGAGCTCTGGGGGGGCCATTTCAAGGGCTGCCTGCAGGACATCCAACTCAACAGCCAGCAGATAGAGTTTTTCCAGGTGGAGAACAACAGTTTGCCAGGGGAACTCAATAGGACTCAAACTGGAAATCTTGTGAATGGCTGCATGTCTGATGACACCTGCAAGGTATGTGCTGTGTCTTGTTTGTCTCTGTGTGTGCAGGGGTTTATTGTAGTTCTGTTATTACACAAAAGTCTGACTCTTGCTGATACCAGAAAGAGGAGAAGTTTTTTTGATGTATTGAAGAACAAATGGTTCTCTGTGGTCTCACCTCACTCAATATGCTAAATATGATTTAAACACTGAGTTTTCTCCCCTGTAGTTTCTGGGGCTTTGCCTTTTGTGCTGCCATTTCCACTTTGCTGAGCCCACATAGGTTCCAGCCTGCCCTCCCTAACCTTGCCAGCCCCTCCCTTCATCCTGTTCCAATTCCACAACAACCTCTTCCCCAGGAATCTGCCCCTTCAACAACAGAAGCTGAAGGAGCTGTCTTCATGTGCCCTTGAATCAGAGCCTGGCTCTCCTCTGTGCCATATCTGGTGATGGGGAGGCCATACCTCCCAGTCTTGCTCTTCTTGCTTATGATGCTCTGAATTATTGTTCCACCTGTGGTGTCAGGGGTGTCCTTCTGGTGACAGAACTTTGTGAGCTTCTTGGGAGCATCACAGTTTGTTTCATCTGTTCCTCACCTGTGCTTTCATGCCTTGTTCTTTGCCACATTGCTGAAGCTGCTCAGTGCCATGCACGGGAAGAGCAGGGACTCAGGAATTTCTTGTACAGAGCCTGTTGTGCTTCCCTCTTGAGTCACTGTTCCATTTCCTTCCTCTCTTGATTCAAATGCTGCTTGTGTTCATCTTCATCATCACAGTTCTACCAAACTCTCTTAAAGCTCAAGATGAATTACTTTGCTCCTAAATTCCCCTGTTTTGTTTTTCAGTCTGAGCCATGTCAGAATGGTGGCAGATGCATTGTCACTTGGAATGATTTCCATTGCAGCTGTCCAGCAAATTTCACTGGGAAATTTTGTGAAGAGAAAATCTGGTGTGAAAGTGACCCATGTCCTGAAGCCACCACCTGTGTGGATGTTGTGGCAGGATATGTGTGTAAGTTCTGTCCTCCTGCTTGTGTGTTGGTAAAATCCTCCCTTTCCCTGTGTATAATCAGTATTCCCAGTTTGTGCGCTTGGAAGCAATACAAACACTGCAAGAAGGACACAGAGTGGTGCCCAGGTACACACTGCTGCAGGCAGCACAGGCTCTGTGGGCTCGCCCTGGGTGTGACAGAGCACAGCTGAGGAGTAAAAATTGCTGCCCAAGAGCTGGATATTATTACAGGAGGTGCAGTTGTAAACAGGAAGAGCTTTAAGGCTGCCAGCAGCTCGCCTGTAATCCTGCTCACACTAAGCTTAGGGGTTCTTAGGGAGAGAACCTGCCAGGGGTGTGCCACTGGTCTGGCTCAAACAGGGCACCAACTGTCTTTGAAATCCCTCGTGTTCTCCTCCTTTATTTATAGGTCTGGCAAATGCAACATTTAATAGTTATGGTGCCATGGAATTTACCACCAACACATCAGTGACCAGAACTCTGAGCAGCCTCCACCTGGACTTCAGAACTAGAGATGAAGATGCTGTTTTGCTTCGGGCTGTGGAAGAGGTGGATTCCCTCCAGGTAGCCATTAAGAATTCCTCCCTGCTTGTCGACATCAGGAGTGGGAACAGCATCGAGGGTGTCAGCTTCCTGAGCCCGCAGCCCGTCACGGACGGGGCGTGGCACAGCGTGTCCGTGTCCATGGAGGAGCCGGCCGCGCTCTCTTCCCGCTGGCTGCTGCGCTTGGACGGGGTGAACGCGACTCCGCAGGGCAACGCCGGCAGCCTGGACTTCCTCAAGAACGACGCCTTGGTCGTTCTGGCCGAGAATTTCACCGGCTGCCTGGGCCGGGTGCAGATCGGGGGCATCTTCCTGCCCTTCGCGGCCCACGGGCCGTACCCGCAGCCCGAGCAGTTCCAGCGGGCCGGCCCGGGCAGTGCCCGGCTCGGCTGCTCCGGGGCCGACGTGTGCGCCTCCAGCCCCTGCCTCAACGGCGGCACCTGCGAGGACGAGTTCAACTCCTTCCGCTGCGGCTGCAGCGCGGGCTGGGCGGGCCAGCGCTGCGAGGCCAACATCGACGACTGCCAGCCCAGCCCCTGTGTGCACGGGGACTGCGTGGATGCCGTGGCTGACTTCCAGTGCGAGTGCTTCCGGGGCTTCATCGGCAAGAGGTGCGACATCAACGTGGACGACTGCGTGCGGCACCAGTGCCTGAACGGAGCCACGTGCGTGGATGGAGTTTATGGATACTCCTGCAAGTGCCCCCCGCAGTACTCCGGGCCTCGCTGCGAGTAAGTGCCGGGGCTGCTTTGATACAGGGGCAGGGGAGCCTCCAGATAAACTGGACTTTCACTTTGGGACCCTTTGGGAACATTTTTCATTGCAAGCATCTCCTAAATTCTGCTTGGAATGTGCTGTCCAGGTCCAAACCCTCACTGACAGGGGCTCAGCCTTGTACAGGATAAGGATCCTTCCTTTTAATGTGGGTTATCCCTGTGCTACATTGCAGAGCTCTGTGAAGGGCACATACTCTGGCCTATTGTCATTTCCCTCTAGCAGTCCCCAAGAAGTCTCTCTTCTCTGTGACTTGATTCCCTTCTGCTATATTCCTGTGCTGATTTAAAACAAAACATCTTGTGCCAGTTCAAATGGAACATGGAGTTAAATACTGACATGGCTGTGTTTCAGTTATCTGATCTATCCAGGATGTTCCTGCTGCATTCTGGTGCAGTTACCTGGTACTGGCATTATCCTTCCTGGGGCCTGGCTGTACTGTTCCAGCTCTGTCCTGTCCTTGCCTGCATTTTCATTAGCAAGAACAGGCCTGTCTGAGAAAAGTCTGAGTACTGGTAGAGCTCCTGTCTGTTGCCCAGTCATCCAAGGAGTGCTCTGATGTTACGGATGATTTCTGAGATTATTGCCCTTTTCACTTGTGTCAGACTCCTTCCTAGAAATACCAATGACTGTGTTTATAAGCCTTGCCAGCCCCATTCCCTCTGAGCCCCAGAACACTCTGCCCTTGCCCAAAACCTGAGTGTTCTAAAGGCTGTCCCTTGCTCTCCCCAGGTGGCCGTTCCCCCCTCAGCAGTGTGGCAAGAACTTCACCTGTCTGAACGGTGGCAGGTGCATCACTGAGAGCTGGGGAGCCAACTGCTCCTGCAGGCCTGGCTTCACTGGAAGGAAGTAAGTGCTGCTTTGGGATCCAGTGCTCCAGTCCTGACCTCAGTGGGTGGCAGAGCAGGGCCACTGCTTCCCCCTCCTCCATGTCCTTGTGCCAGTCAAACAGCTGCTCCTAATGGGAGCACGAGCTGGTGCTTGGAGCAGAGGGAGGCTTCAGATCATCCAGCTGCCAAACACCAGTTTTTGCAGCAAGAACTGCTTCCAAGATTTTTCAAGCACACTGCCTGTGCTGGAGACCTGTGCTGGCCTCAGTCCCATAGAAACCACAAGAGGAGGGTTGGTGTGAACAGGGGAGAATTTCATGTTGTTTGACTCCAGAAAAAGCACCTGGAGAAGCTGCAATGGGCACTTTTCAAACAAAAGAGGCTTTTCTAGACTGGGTGATCTTGTGTTCTATGGCACAAGAATATATATGACAATTCTAATACACTCTTCCTTTCCAGCTGTCAAATCAACATAAACGAGTGTGACCCGAACCCGTGCCAGAACGGGGGCACGTGCCAGGACTCTGAGAACAGATACGAGTGCGTGTGCAGCGCCAGCTACACCGGCGAGCGCTGCGACATCAACGTAAGCACCGCCCGCGGGCTCTGCCTGTCCCTGTGCTGTCACCAGGGGGCTCCGGGCTCTGCTGGGGCTCTTCTGCTTCTGTCCTGTCTAAAGCACTGCTGGGGAATCTTGAATGTTTTTTTTTCCTCTGCAGTGCTGCTGCTTATTGGTCTCCAGCATATAAACAACTGCAGTAAATGCTCCTCAGTATCTGCATGTGCTGCCGTATGGCTTTTGGGGCTGTCTCTGCACATTTCCATAGATTTCACAACTCTTAGGACAGTAATCCAACTCCTGCAGTTGA